GATTAGCTATGAGAGAGTACAGTGTGAATGGCTAAATGAGGGCACAAATTGTAGTGTAAAGCGCTTTGAGTATCCTGCTTGGATATAATGGCACTAAAAAGTACAGTCCATTTATCATAAAGAAATCAGAACAAATTGTGTCTTTTACAGTTAGTTACTTTGGTGCACTTCTGAGACCATTTTCAGCAAAGCAATAAGTGCATTTCTCAAAACATTCACACAATTAACAAAATGCTATATATTAAAAGTCAGCCTCCAGCTCAAAATGTTTAGTTCATCTCTCAAAACTAAATATATTTGTCAACTGAACATGTCAGTGCCCTCTAAAGGACAACTCCTTGTGTCAGCAGTGGGATGAGAGGAACACCAACATCATCTTTTTATGGATCATAAACCATTGCCTGATGATGTTGCAGCGATAGAAACAGACATTGTCCCAAACTATAACAAACTTTGGCACTTCATCTCCAATCTGACACCTCTCTTATTCGGGGATGAGATCCCTGTAGATATTGTCTAAAATGGTGACAAGAATCTTGTCACAAGATGCTCTGTATTGTATGTGTGACAGTCAGCACTCACCTGTGAGCAATTTACCAATTCAGGACAGATTTAGAGAAAAAAAACTAATGATTATAAATTTTAGACACATGAGGACTTGTTCAACCATTTTGCATGTAGAGACATATGCAATGAACTAATGTCCTAATGCGGGGGAGTTTATTGAATAGAGATAATACATTTTGATCAGTATGACATATGCAACTGATAATGTAACTTCAGAGAATTATGCATGAATGTAACTTGTTCAAAGCAACAAGAAACAGTTGTATTTAATTGTTTATTGTTTTATGTGCACAAGCGACACAATGATGTGAAAGTGGGTGGCTCAGTTGGTAGAGCTGATGCCTCTCAGCAAGAAGGTTGCCAGATCAAATTCTGGCCCGGGGACCTTTCTGAGTAGAGTTTGCATTTTCTCTCCGTGCATGCGTGGGTTCTCTCCAGTTACTCCAGCTTTCTCCCACAGACCACAAACATGACTTTAAGGTTAATTGACAACTTTAAATCATCCCTAGGTGTGAGTGAGAGAGTGAATAGCTGTTTGTCTCATGGACTTGTAACATGTCCAGGGTGTACCTCGCCCATCGCACAGTTGGGTACCTGTGACCCTGGAAGGAAGAAGCGGGTATRGAYWAYGKATGGATATTTTGTAKGTTTTCTGTTTCTCCTGGGTATAGGAGCCCTTTTATGCCTGGATGATTTAGAGGTCAGAGGTAAACAATAAGAACTCTWACCTGAGCCTTCAGACTTTTAGAGGATTACTACAAAATGTGGCTCCTGGAAAGCAAACAAACTACTGAAGGATGATTCAGGACCTTTGCACAGTACTTTATATTTCAGCTTCRTATCATATACAAATGGCCCTTTAAAAAACTGATTTGACCATGATATAAGAGATAGTTCATTCTTATTAATGTAAAACAAAATGAATATTTTTCAAATAAAGCCCTATCTTAATATGGACAATGGCTTGATGAATACTCCAGATGGCGTACTTCTGCCAGTGAAGGATTCATGTTCTGCCAAGAGCAACTAACCCCCAAAGAAAGGTTAAAATGATTCTGTTTATTGACTTTAAAAATGAAACAGTCTGATGATGTTTGCTTTTATTTGTAAGTTTATATCTCCTATTTACAAGTTGCCACGTGAGCTGCAAAAAAATATACATTAAAAGATGTGAATGGCAAAAGCAGTCATGCACACAAGCTCATACTGCATACACACACCTGAGCCTTTTGTACAGCTGAGCCTGTGGCAATGAGTGCTCTCCAGGGAGGATTTTCCCACCAACCATTATGACCTGCCGCTGAGATGGGGCAGGGAGGGAGTGTGTGCTTGAATTTGTGTGCATCTGTGCATATATGCGACGCGAGCACGAGTAGAAAACAGCAACAAGACGCACAGGAGATAACGTCAGACAGCAGTGGAGATGGACCAGATTGGCATCATGTGAGACAGTAGACAGACCAACAGAAGAAAAGAGGGGAGGTGCCGCTGTGTAATTGATGTGCCCACCAGGAGCTTTAGCTGGCTGCCTGGCATGGAGGAGGATTCAGGCACTGCTGCCAAGACACCGCGAGAAAGGAAAAAGGAGGCACGAGCCTTGGGGAGCTCAGGAGCAGGCTGAAACCATGCCCATCAATCAGAGGCTAGTTCACCTTGCCATGCCAAGCAGGACCCCCCTCTGCGCCGAGGGATGGCACTGCACTGGGAGTGAGGTTGGCACTGGAGCTAAATCTTCCCTAATCTTCATGGTGGGTGTATCAGTGCCACGTCTGAATGGCAGCTGAGTGGGCTGAGCTTGACTCGAGTTTGACACATCTATCTATCTATCTATCTATCTATCTATCTATCTATCTATCTATCTATCTATCTATCTATCTATCTATCTATCTATCTATCTATCTATCTATCTTTTTGTTCCATTTCTGAGGTTTTCAGTAGTCCCCAAATCATCTTGATGCGTAACAACCAACCAAAACGCTCACTCAAAGTCATAAAGAATAAATTTCTATGACAAAAAAAAGAAAGAAAAAAAGAGTAAAAACAGATGGTTCAGCCCCATGCAGCCCGGATCCCAACATCAYTGTGTCAGTGTGACATCAAATGAAGAGACAGAGGAAAATTGAATCCAATCTTCTTTGAAATCTTTGCAAAAGTGTGCCTATATRCTAAAAAGAAGGAATATTTCAGGGGGTTATATACATGTAATGTGTTTGCTTTTCTTTTTTTTTTTATCAAAATGTTTGATCAACCTTTGAATTTGAAACTGTTAGCATCGTTTTTATCACTCTTTCCCTTCAGAAGCTGCATGTGTATTTACACCTTCACACCATCACATTAATCTATATTGCTCATGCATACTTCTGCATTTAAACACTAAAAAAGTGTTCATGCACATGTAGAATGTGTATAGATACATACTACATATTTATGTATGCACAAGACATGCCTAACTAATACATTTTTCCAACATATTTCCTGTTGTTGTGTAGAATTTGACTAACATCCCATTTAAACACTTGCGTTTGATTTCCCCTGCATGTTCTCTGTTTCAGCACAGGGGATGAAGATGTGTGAACATCTTGGCAACCTCA